CTTTTAGTGAATAAACTCCTAGGAGAAGTTAATAATAAGACAGTAGAAAAAAAAGGTTCCATGCAACATGAAAAACGGGTGCCCCACATCTTCTGCTATCTTACCCCAGTTAAATCAGCTGTAATACGTGTCAAACTATTGGTGACATCCTGGGGCTCTTTTTCTGACTCTTCAGCAACCAGCAAAATGTTAAAAATGTTCCTGCAAGAGACACATTCTTTTGAAGCTTGTGATTGACTTAAGATGTATGAAAAGCATTTTGGCCTAAGGGAACAAATCCTTAGCATCTTAACAGCTCCTCCCTTTCAAACAACATGCCTTCGCATTACACAGGTCTGGCTGCAGATGTGATAGAGGCTGAATGAGTAATTTAATCTCTCTCACATGTATGGTTATTAGCAATTATTTAAATTGTCCCTGTGAATTCTACAGCGCTACAAAGTGTAAGTGATAGGTATTGCAAGGCCTAGTTTGAGAGAGGAAAGAATTGACATGTAGTGCAATATTGGCTACAATTGCTACATGTAGTGCAAAATTGGCTTTTTAAAAAGTTCTATTCCACATTCCTTCTTTAGGGAGGTAATGCCTTGGATGAGCTGAGAAATAAATGACGGGAGTTATATTTCTTCCCCGATCAACAACTAATTAGAGGTTTAACCCTGATTTATTGATTTCCAATCAATCTGCAGGTACTCAGCATTCCATATTTTCATGTTAATGGTGACAGGGTATCTTCATAAATGGCATCACCAGGTGATGGCTGGCTAGCTGAAATTTATGGCAGTTGTAAAAGCAGTTTCTGATATGCTAAGCTTGTAAACCACCTGTGTGCAGGAAGTTCACTGCTCTGAACATTTGCAGTTTTTATTCACTTCAGTGGTTAGACAAGTGATGTAACATGTTAGCAATTCTCAAATATTTTCAATATTGCAAGACGTAACCTATTTCTGATATTGTTCTTTTCGGCAAGATCAATGTAGGCTTTACCTTAAGAACAATAGTTAGTAATTTAATGATGTTTTTGTATTAATAAGCTTAATAATGGAATATGAGTGCTGATTCCTAGATATTTAGAATCACAAGTTTGCAAACTTTGCAAACTGTTGTGGCCAAACTTTAATACAACATGTTTTTCATGGCTGTATCTACAGTACCCACTGTACCTTAGGGGTGCGTAGTGTCCCTTTAACATCTGTGGTTGGTAAATGATTCAAGGGCTGTTAAGGGATAATATTCAAGAATTCATTTTGAACAAAAAATCCTGTTCAAAGGAATTTTATTAAAGAATGCTTATAATAATAAATCCTATATGGCACTTATGATCTAAGAATAGCCATAGCTCAAAATTTCAAATGTTATTTTGCCAGCCAACTGCATACAGAATGGACCAGGCACTTAAAGGGTATACTGCAGTTCTTTTATTCTACCCACTCAGGCTTGAGAATGACTGGAGTTGAAATATAAAATTGTGCGTGCCTTGTTTATTCTGTATGCAGTTGGCTCTCCACCATGAGACACTAGATGGGTACTGAACTTGATAATTCCTCTCCTCTGGTTGCTCGCTGGGGATTGTAGGATACCTTGCACAAATGCCCTTGGACTCCATATTTATAGTCCTTGCCTCTATGCTCATGATATAGCAGCACAGTCAGTGTGTCCTTGGCACAATTATCAATGGGCCTCACCTGGGCTGTACTTCCATTCCCAAAGGCTAGCGGGCAAGTGAAAATGTTGATCCTTGCAAATAGAGTTGACTTTGATGCATTACATTTTTCTTTCTGTTGAGAAGAGCTTGATATGCTGGAAAAAATGTGTTCCCTTTGTGGAATCAATTAATAAAAGACAATATTATGAAGCAACTGCAACAATTATTTAATTGATATAACAGGAGAATCATGTTAACAGATAAAATCACATGTTGTCTGGTAGCACTTTTTTAAGTCCTACAAAACAGTTTTATGGATTCCCCATTATGAGCTCGTGGTGTAAGGCCATAGCCTTGGTTTTTTGTTTTTTTTCCCATTTGCTCAGTACTGTTTTGTTTTGTTTAATGAATTGTGATGAATTAAACAAACTAGCATTATTAGCCAAGTAAGATAGAAACCCCTGCCCTGCCTTGGTCTGGGAATATCAGAAAAAAAAGAATGTTCACAATGTGGACATTTAGACTGTACCTTGGCCCAACTCTTAGCCTTCCGTGGCTAGTACAGGAGTAGCTGCAATAAGTTTGCATCTTTTGAGCTGATCCAGAAATTGCACCTATAGCAGCCTTCCAGAATATTTTGGAACAATGTTGTAACCATTACATGCATTAAGCTACAAAAGCATTAGTGGCACTACTAATGGACCATTAGGTCTGGCTCTCAGATAGCTTTTCACTTCACCCTAAAGGTGATTGATGGATTAGCATTAGTGCTCTGGACAGGTCAGTCAGAGTCAGTGATCTTGTAAACTATTTATGTCTGGACCTCACTTTGTGTATGATAGTGTTATCATGATGAAACAGGAAAGGGACTTTCATGCAATACTGATAAACACAGAATCATCTAGAATATCCCTATACTAACTTCACTTGAGCTAAGATGCCTAACTCAATCCAGGAAGGACATTGCCAGTCATTATTAATCCATAAAACATTACAGTTGTCATTATGCAGTCAGTTAAGTAAAATGCATGTGTTACCCTGGCATCAGTCAATCAGTGATTTATTCACATTTAAGATAATAAATAATGATTCATTATTCCATTAGACATGTCTACACTGCTCAAGATACCTTGAGTTTTGCATCTCTCCATCGTGGTATGAAAATTGGAATACAACTCAAAATGGATGAGCATTTACTAAAGTGGGGTGCTCTATAGACCTCCAATATCAACACACCAGTAATAAATTGCAAATAAAAACCAATTATATCATTGCAGTCAGTTGAAAACCAAATTGTAAAACTGTAGCCAAAATTGGCAAGTTAGAAAATATCTAAATAGTAGTAATGTTCCTAGTGCATGAACCTATTTATTTATGGACACGCTTGACCTGTAACATTTACATTACCATGATGCGACACTCCTAATAGCCTTAGTTTTTGCCTAAGTAGCTTGTTTTAATGACTTGGAAAAATGCATTTGAGTAATCATTTTTAATCTGTACTATTTTGAATTATGTTTTCTCGTCATCTAGTTACCTATCATTGGTTAATGTTTTCTATTACATTGTGCGTTCCCTGTTTTTTTTTATGCCTTATTTGGAATGCAAAAGGATTTTAAACCTTTTAGAGGCAATGGAAAAAGGGCCATGTAATACTTCTAATATTACACTTTATTGCTTTTAAGATTATTTTCTCTAATCTTTTAGAACAATGCTAAATTCATCTCAGTAAGGGTTGTGCAACCGTAAACGGTCGGTTTAATTTTGTGATTCTCCGTCTAGAATTAAAGTTAAACCACAGCTTCTCTCAAACTCATGAATGGTGAGTGTTGAAGCCAACAGCAAACAACATATGCAGGAATCTTCTCTTGGAAATGTATATATAGGTGTTTAATGTTGGGCACGTTATATTATTCTGTGTCTTTATATTTGAGTGACTAATGTGAAGCTGTCTTTTACAGCTTTTTAGGGGTGTGGTGAGGCACATGCTGGGACTGGTACCAGACTAGGTACGCTTGCAATGTGAGCAGTGTGTCTAATTGCTCATGCCGAGACTAAGCTGGCAATGCCCAGAAAAATCTAAAGAGGAGTGGATATGGCAATAAAGTTTTATGCTTCTAGTCATCTTTAACATAAATTTTCGTACTGATCCAGCTATTGATATTGTACGGAATAGATTGGGCAAAATAACAAGACTGGCAAAATAACAAATTATGCTGATTTTCTGCTTTATGTAAACTCTTTATTTAAGTACAAACAGGTATCAAAAGGGCCGTCAGACATTATGTTGATTTTCTTAGTGGAAAGAAGTTAATACTGCTTCTTTATTGGAAATTAAACAGCTAAACTATGTATTTATTGTATACATCAATGCGTAGTTACCATTCAGGTGTATGACTAACAGTCTTTCTGTTCTTGCTTTGGAATATTCCCCCAATCGTCCTTACAGAAATACGTCTAGAAATATTATTAGGTTGTCTCCCATACACTGTATATTTGAGATCAATCTGGATTTTTAATAATATTCAAGTTGGCAGACAGCAAAGGTCATTTCAAAACCTTAATATTTTGTTTCTTAAAGTTGTTCACAGCGGACTTTGATATGTGTTTTAGATTATTGTTTTGTGGGAATAACCAATCCGTATTAAGGTTTGGTTCCTTCTTTGAGACATTAGTTTACAGGATTTATTCATATTTAATAGAATCTATTCTTTCCTCTGCCTTTAAAATGTTTCCTCTGCCATTGGCAGCCACTCAACACTAAAGCAAAAATGATCCAACCTGTACTTAACAGTTGTCTAAGTGTTTTTTTCTTCAGAACCTTTTCCTTTCTCAGCACATGAATTTTGGTTCCAAAATGCCTATGTAATATCTAGGTGCAGTGGTGTCTACTTAGAAGTTGCAATTCGTGAGGACAATGCAGGTTAGGGTTCCGTTTGCTGACTTTTCCATGTGCAACTGTACTGTTGAGCAACTACTCCCAGTGCATATAAAATCTTCCAGCAGGTCCTTTCCAGTAATACTGGGCATTTGTTTTGGGTTACTTAATTAGACTACAAGCAATTATTTTGGGGAGTTTGCTTGGTGTTCCATATCTGGCCTTGACTTCAACCATTCCTATAAACTTCCATTTCCGAACAACGTTTTGATTTAAACAGCAAGCATTTAGATATATTTTAATAACCTTTCCTTGCTTTGCATTATCTTTAGAATAGCAAAAGGTTGAGTGTCAGTACAACACACTGAGAGGTTCCAGAGAATGTATTTCAGAGAATTTATTAAGCTCCAAAAGTGTTGCCAATAGACTATGACCAAGGTTGAATTGGTCAGTTCCAGAGTTCTCCAAACTCTGGCCCTCCAGATGTTGCTGAACTACAACTCCCATGATTCTCTGGCTATCTATTTAAAAAAATCATGGGAGTTGTAGTTCAGCAACATCTGGAGGGCCAGAGTTTGGAGAACCCTGGTTCAGACTTTTAAGGAAGGTTTAAGGAAGGTTCTGATATCTTACAATGACATCACTAATAGATCAATTGAAAGGATATCAAAACCTTTCAATATTAATCAAATAAATAAATTGTAACTGCGAATTAAAATGTCTCAATATGCTGAGTTTGTCTTTATTCACTGCAGAAGTGAAATTTCAATTTCTTTTCACTTAGAAAATCATCAAAACATGTTATTAGGTCAGGGGTGCCCAAACTTTGTAGTTTGCTCTATATCTATACCGTGACTTTTTTAAATTTATTTTTTCAGCTAATTGCATTTACATTAGTGATCTCAAGAAGCATATATAAAATAAATGTTGAAAAAGTAAGGAGCTGTCAAAGTTAACATGCAGCTTTATCTTAAAGGAGCACTGGCACATAGGTTTTTGCATTTTTTGTTAAACCCCTTAAAGTGAAGTCTGCTGCAACAGTGGCGGCAAGGATTTAGTATAGAGAGAAATATACTGATTTCGGATAATCTCTCTAATTGGCACACAGTGTTACCCTGCACTCCATTTTAGCTCCAGGTATCTTCATAAAAATCTAACTCAATGTAAATTAACTTCCATATTCTACCTAAGGTATGTGGTTCCACGAGGTCACCTTTAAATAATATATATATACCCAGGACATACTTGAAAACGAGAGAAATCTCAATGTATCTTTCCTGGTAAAATATTTTATAAATAAATAAAATATATATTGGAAGATAGCTCTTGCACTCCTACTTATAAAGAAATGTATACCTGGTGCTCTGGTCGCATGAATATACAAAGCAAACAAAATACTGACACTCCAAGGTTTTCAATCTAGATAAATCTTCTTTATTTTCAATTCCAGTCTGACAATCACATTGGTATGACTGTTAGATGTTTTCCAAAACTATGACATTTCTTCATATTAATGAGAAGCACTTGAAAAGTGTTGCCTTTCAGTATGTAGAATTCAAATGCTGCTGGAAGGAAGTAAATTCATTAATCAAAGAAGAGCATTGCTTTGATTAAAGGTCTGCTCCAGACACTTGCACAAGGCCATACAATGTACTGGGTAAAGCTCAGCTTATTTTCTATTTTATTTATTTATTAAAAAAAATTTTTAAATAAATAATTTTCATGTGCTCACTTGCCTAGACTGTCATATAAACGCACAGTACTTAATTCACTTTGGCTAATTAATATTTATTTTTCTATAACTACATATTGATTTAATTTAATAGCAATGTTTGATTATTCATACATTGTTGCCAGGTGGGTAATTATTTATTCCCTGCTGGCATTCTAAAATAATTTTTTAACTCGCAGTTTTGTAAGCACATATTTGTAATTTGATTTTATGACTCTTTCATTAATCTCTATATAGCTTTGAGGGAGATCTATTCAAATTCCGCTCTCTAGTGTTAAGAACTGAATACTACATGTGGCTGCATGGTCTGTGTATCAGTGGGAAAAAAACATGCAGTGTTCAACTCAAAACATTATTATTAATATTATTATTTTTATTGTTATTATAACTGTTGTATCCAGAGTCAAAATATTCTGCACGCCTTACAATTTTACAAACTGAATACAAAGTAGACAAAAGGGCAAAAAGTTCCCTGTTCAAGAAAGCCTACATACAAACCACTGATATTAAACAGCAATGCTTTGAGCAAGAGAAATATATGCAGTCCTTAAAGGGCTACTCTAACCCCTTATTTCACACTTTTTGTTTTAACCTGCAATTCCCTATCAGGCATTTCTAGCTAGGTTACCCCTTCTTTTAAAAACCTAAATTTTTCTTTTTAAAACTTACCTGAATTCCAGAGCCTGGCAAGGCTCCTGTCGCTCCTCTCCACATCTCCATATGATGTTACCAAGGACTTTGAATGGTCCAATCAAACTCTTCTCATTAAGAAGCCTTTGATTAGACTGTTTCACCGGCTCTGAGCACATATACTTGCTCTGAGTTGGCTATGGAAAGGAGGGATGGATTGAGAAGTGAGAGAGGGAGGGGATATTTTCATTAAAAATATATACATACTAATCTAAGGTAGGGAAGGAGGCAGGAGAGAGTGCACAGAGAGACTGCCTGCAAGGGTTAAATCTAACCATAGCTGTCCCCAGCACACACCATGCGCTGACATACATTTTGCACAGAATTTATATTGGGTAGCTCAAAATAAAACTCATAAAAAACTGGAGTCCAGAATGTGCAGCAATTCAAGCAGAAACACTACATACACAGACTCCTACCACCCTGACCACTTAAAATCACTGAAGTGGTCGTGCTGGTTGGTGTGTTGGCGCTGACAGGTGGGCTGATTTTAAGCATACTTTGTAAGAGTCAGCAAAGTTCTGAAAAAACATAATAAGTTGGGTTAAGGAATTTCATTTTGATTAATGACACAGAGAGAATGACATAGTCTTCAAGCTGCAATGAATTTTGTTGCTAGTTGGTACAGTTACAAGCACCTGTGTGACAGGTGGCCATGATAGGGGACCTCCTTGCAATATAATCAGTATAGTTAACATAAGTTGTCATAGTGCTCAGACTGTCCCTTTAAGACTTATGATTAGTCGAACATTTTTACAGATTCTAGATTTCTTTGAAGAGGTATAACATATTAGTAGCTTTTTATGTGCCATAAGGGTGTGCCATAAATTGGATAAGATCAAAAAGTGATCCAATATTCTAAAACTACAGCAATCACCTTGGAAATCACTGGGGTGGGAGGAAACATTGTATTGCTTTCCATATGGATTGCAACTGTAATTCTATAACTCTTTGCCACCTTTTTCATAACTCTTTGCCACATCTTATAATTTGCCTCCTTTGCACTTTACAGAGGATTACGTTTCTTGGAAAGGAGATGTCATTCATCAGTGATTTAAAAGAGCTGATGTTTTTTGTCTTCTCTTTGCTCCATATTTATCCTAGGAAGGAATGCCTTGTCTGTGTATCAGACTCCGGACAGGCCGGTGTTTGTGTAGGAGCAGGGGCTTTATGCCATGTGAAAATTCAGCATTTGCTCATTCACCAATGGGATTGCTGGATTTGCTGACGCACCTCTTCCTCTCTCACCATTGTGACTAGACATGCTCTCAGATTAACACGGCTGCTGAGTAAGCAATCCCACCAGCTTTGAAGATTATATAGCTAATCAATTCACATTTACAAGTGGACTGCAGTCACATCATGCCTGGGCTGTGTTGTTAGCTGTGCGAAGCCTCAGTCCCAGACATATGAAATGATTCCAAAATACTTGCTCACATTACCTCATTAGCTGCCACAGGGACTGGCTGGACATATACCTGCCTGTCTAGAAAATTAAAGGAGTAGTTCATCTACAAGCTTTATCCAATATTACACAAACAACAAAAAACAAAAACAAAAAAAACATTTTCCCCTTCCATTGTTTTGCCCATTATCCTGGCATTTTTCTGCTTTATTCACTTTTCTGTTTTCTCTTTCTCTTTTTTTTCTTTTTGAGGGTATAATTGTCAACGTTTGTCGATTCCTCTGGGGTCTTATTTCATTTTATTTTTCTTGTTTTCAGTTATGTGAGATATTTGCTATGTTCCCTTCTTAAAATAAAGAATTTAATGTTAATATTTCTATACCTTGACAAGCTCAGTAACACATACACAATTTAAAACAATTTAACAAAACTGTATTAGATAGACAGACAGACAGGCAAATAGATATATAGATAGATAGATAGATCGATAGATAGATAGATCGATAGAAAGAAAGAAAGAAAGAAAATGTATTATTTAAATCCCCACTGCACACTTGCATCTTTACTCAGAAACTATTAGATTATTCTCCTAAAGGACAATTTGGAGCCATCGTAATACTTGGGTTTACAGTTATGATTTTGAGTTATAATTATTTATGAAGTGCCAGAGTGCTTTGTATCACTATACAAAGACCCTGAATTACATTGATTGGGCATTCTGTCTGTATTTAATCACATTGCCTCCACCGGCCTTTAAAGACTATGTTCTAGGTTTGAGAGATCACTGAGTAGTGCTTCAGTATGGGATACTGGTTAACAATTTGAGTGACAGATATATACCTAACTCATTGCTAGGCACACCTGGCACTCAAAAGATTAAGGCTAAAACAGTTGGTGGTACTTGAGAAATGCAATTCAATGCACACTGATTATGACAAACTTTCTCATACTACTCAGGAATTTAACTGAAAACATACTGCTTGGATTAATTTAAGTTAAATTACGTTTTTAGTTAAATTAAGTTTCTTGACATGCGTATAGATTAACAAGGCACAATTTACTATAGCAAGGCAGATTAGCAAGGCACAACAAAACTATAATTTGTATATTGTCTTCTGCCACCAGTTCCTTATGTGGTTTCTCAAAATGTGTCCAAAAAGCAACATATAAACAAAAACAACAGAATATGGGTATTCATGAGTACATGCCTATGAGCATGAAATGCTTGAACAAACTCTATTTCCTCTAGCTAATCAGTTAAACTAAGGAAATAACAGGTTCTGATTGGCAGGTGGCATTATATGTATCTGTTGATATAAAGTTTCTGAGGTTATACAAATCATACAGCAATATATTTCATTTTTATTACAGCTAAATTTAGTATAATGCTTTATTATTCCAAGAATAAAATAATATAATGTTTTCAGCTTTGAAACCATGTCCTAACTCTACTAAGCTGGTTGCCAGTTCGTCACAATTATCTGGTTAATTGATGTTTCTGTGCCCTCTTTAGCCCTCCTCCCCTCCTGTGCCCTTCTTTGTACCCCCTCCTACACCATCTTTAGCCTCCTCCACCATGCCTGCTAAGGCTCACCTGAGAAAGAAGTTCCGCAGGGGAGGAGCCTCTGTTTCCTGTACCTGGTCTGACAGGAAGCAGTTCTGTGCTTTAAGTGAGCACTTCCTGTAGGATTGGGTCTAGGACAATGTGTAGTTAAGCATCCTAGCCTATTACCATACCT